AGTGGAATATACATATGGTTCTTTTTCTAAGACAATTGCTTTTTTCTCAGCTTCTTCATAAGTATCTGTGATAATTGACAGAAAAAAAATATTAAAGTAAAATATATATATATATATATATATATTAATATGATTTGTATTAGCACAAAATCACGAGAGTACGTATATTGTAACTGTTATGGCACTAAATAACCTATATGTTTAACCTATACGTTTAACCTAACAAACCTATTTCTGAAAAAAGACATATAAATATATATTCGTAAACATATGTATCGATTACTCGCATTTATCGAATTTAATTGCCATCTTTCCACGGTATTGATTTCTTGCAGCGCTTATATTTCGTGAACGGCTGTTATATCAGAGGATTTGAGTTAGCAAATTGTATAAAAGGTTATCGATATAATTTATTTTTAAGAAATAAAAAAATAAATAACGTACACAAAGCAACAGTAGATATATATTATATCGGTAATGCCATACTTTATACTTATATAAATAATAGATCATAATAAATTTACAAATTTTACAAATTAATTATGATCTATTATGTAAAATAATGTTATTTTATGCTCTATGTATATATATATGTATATATATATATATAATTTATCGTGTAAAATAACATATATATGTACTTCAATACATGTATTATAAAGTATATAAGGTAATGTACATATGGTCCGAATTTGGACCAGATGTGGGAAACCTAACTGAAATAATCTTTGTGACGCTGCAGTTCGCTGCGGCGAGGCAGCGTCCCGCCGCCGTCACAAGGCGCGGGTTCGCGCCCCTTTTGCCAGACCGACAGCCGCGTTGTTTAAAGCGAGACCGAGACCTCCGGGAGGCCCGAATGTAAGTCGCGTATCTTTTATTAATTTTGTTTGGAACCTCTTATATGTACCACGGCACCTCACCGGACCAACGAAGCATGGGCCGAAAAGACTCAAGGCCATCGACAGCGAGAAGGAGTTGAAGTGCGAGCGACCTGGCGCCGGAGCAACGGGGACACGCATCGGGCACGCGGCGGGCAGGTGACAGAGCGCGCGAACACGCGCGCGGATACTCAAGCCGCCAGGGGCGCAACCGGGACGGCGGGCACTGGGGCTGAGGCCCGCGAAGGGCAATACGGCCGGCGATTTCCCCAGGGCCCGGGGACATCACCGAGAGCTGCCGGGGCGAGATAGCCAACTCGCCCCGAGAATTCAAGGGCGAAGGACGCGTCCATCCGATTTCACGCCGCCACGTCCCGGATATTGGGCGACCTCGCGCGGGCGCGAGGCGCCCGCCTGATGAATCACCTGATCGCGCCCGTGCCACGGCAGGACCCCACACGGCGCCGTGATTGGTCGCGGCCGACTGCGCCGCTGTAATGCGCACCCCCGGGCTGGGGGTGCAGGCATCGATCCGCGATCGAGCGCGATCGACGTCGCTTTTGCGTGCGGACCGAGTAAGCGTGCGGTCGATTCGGCGATTGAGCGAGCGACGGAGAGCGATTGAGAGCGAAGGAGAGAGAGCGAGAGAGTCCACGGACGTGACTGAGGAGGACGATCGGCTGTCGGACCGGTTGCCAAGAAAGCTGAGGCGGAGATCGTGCCGGTGAGGTGACCCTCTTTAGCGTATGTAAAGCCACGGGCTGAGTGAGAATCTTGCTCGCACTCTGCGGACGGGAACGCCATTTTTAGTGTCAGAGTTTCGTCGCGTGCGCCCCTTCGGCGACGCGTATCGGATAGTACTCTTTGGTTTGGTGTATCGGCGTCCGTCCTCAAGTGCGAGGATTCTCATAGACTCTGCCGTGAGCGATCGGGAGTGTCGCGAGTCGCGTGTCGAGCCACCCGGAGATCGT